AAAAGTAATATAATTTGGTAAAAATGTTGCCACAGGCAAGTTTTTCCAATGAGCCTGGGTTGCTTATTTTTTTTTACATTTAATTTAGTTGTCTCTGTAAATATATACATGGATTTATTATTTTTGAGATGTGATACACAGGGGTTTTAAAATTGTACAAAAGACTAGGTTAAATTGCTCTGCACTTTTCAAGTAAATACTTCATAATTTATTCAAATTGCATTGACTGTCAGTATGGCTTTTAGAGTTCCAGTCCATTTTGATGATGAAATTATTTGTTTATTTTTGCCGGATACCAGTTTTGATTTTCATTACCACATTAAATGATCTGTCACTTGAATGGAGTATTAATCATTTGTAAGACGTGCTTCTCATACAATGACCTAAACTCCAGTCTTATCTCTTCCCAGCACTCTGTAGATGCAGTGAACGCTGGTGTCAGTCCTATTGGAGACACGTCATACAACTCCAGTCACTGGGACTTAGGGAGCTCCTTTTTCTTCGCTGGAACTGTGATAACAACAATAGGTAGCACCTAAGCATCCCTGGATATTATGCATATATTTCAAACTGCTACCATAAGGAGGAAGACTCCACACCTCATTAATATGTATAGCTCAAGCTAAGTACAAGGAATTTGCTTATGTCATACATTTATAGTTTCGCTTTTTTTTTCTTCAGCCACATTTAAATGTCATGTGTGAAACTGTGCCTGCTTCAGCTGTCAATCCAAATGAAATTACTGATGCTTTCAGAATGATTCATTGATTTTTAGATACATTTTATAATCTCAGTATGAAAAGGGGGGTGAAAAATCAAAGCTAAAAATAATGCATATATAAAACACCACAATGCATGTGCATTTTCAGAAATACATAGTCAGGAATGGAAAGAGAGGCTATAGAAGCTTGTTTCCACCAAAGAATGAAAAAAAAAAAAAAGAAAAAGGTATTTGTGACTTTTTATACTACAGTTTTTGTGAGATAGTTTAAACTTTTTTCCTCAAAAATTTCAGAATTGCAAGTTATAAACTCCGAATTGCGTGATTCTGAGAGAAAAAAAGTTAAAATTACTAAATGATTACTAAATAACAATTGTGAGATATAAATGCTATATAAGCAAAGTTGCAATTAACTTTTTTTCTTTCCCTGGCAGAAACACAAAACTAAATCTTGACTTAGAAACCCGCAATTCTGAGAAGATCTCACAACTTGGATTTACCGCAAGTTATAAACTCGCAAAAAGACTCAAATTGCAAATTTATATCTCACAATACAATCTCACAAAAAAGTTGTGAGATATAAACATAGAATTGCGGGGCAAAAATTGTGAGGTAAAAAGCCTTTGTTTCATTTTGCAGCAGAAACACGGTGCATTAATTCACTACTTGCAGTTATATGGCACATTCCATTGGAGGTTTGATGTAATGCATTTGAAGTCCATAAGCTGCCCGCTGTGTTACCTGCCAGGGCATGTGACTGATTACTTAAAGAAGCAGTTGTGCAATACAGGTAAATGCTGAATGCTGACAGGACTCTCAGTGTCATTGGCTCAGCCATCCAGTGGGCAATGGACTAAGGCATACACAAGATTAGCTTTTACACTTCAGTTGCCAAACCTTCCAACATGCTCTTAGTAGACACATTTTGATCCACGGGGACCCCAGGTAATTTCCTACGAAGCACTTTTAACCTGCAGAGTATGTCTGACTGGAATCCGTTGGCATTAACAGACTGATTGGA